AGGAAATAAGGGTGGTACTAGAATTAAAAAAAATATAAAATCTATGCTTGAACGTTTTTTCTTAAACGGAAATCTAAGAAGTCAGGAGAGAATGAATGCACAAACTATGTATGATGAACTTTTAAAATACGTTATAACGGGAGAAATAGAAGAGGAGGATATTCCAAAAACTTCAACGATACAGAATTGGATAAGCTCTTACACTCATATTTTTGAACAAAGAGCAACAGAAGACAAACTTGAAGATGTCGCTTCCAAAAACTAATAACTTGCATAATAAATAAAATTATATGTATCTGTAATATCCTAAAAAAAAAAAAAAAAAAATCTTATCATTACAAATATCGTGTATAACTTATAAACGATTTCATAAAATAAAATCAAACCGCATCTTAGAAACACTATCTTCAGACGTCTTTTTTAAAAATCCTATTGCAATTACAATATTAACGTTCAACAAGGTTGCACATACTCAAAAAAATTCTCGTTAAAGATTACTCAAATGTTGAACTTTACTACCTTTTATTAGATCCAAATACTTTCATAGTTTCTTCGAAAATCTGCTGCAATTTCGATAGTAAATTTAATGTCAAACTCTTCAGACGTCTTTTTTCGAAATCCTATTATCGGTATTTGCAAGGTAATACATTCTAGAAATCCAAAATTTAAAAAAAAAATTTATATAAAAAGATGAAATCGTGGTATAAATATGTTTGTAAATTTCTATATGTCTAATTATTATGATGTATATATCACAGTAAATGCCGCATGCGCCCAAAGTAAAGTTTTTATTGAAAGACTTCTATTCGTAATGGGTTTAAAGCAAAACCAGTATGGTATTGCTCTACAGTTTGTACTACTTTTTAGTTAAAGTTTATTTAAAATTTATCGAGTTTGTATAGGACCTTAAAATTTCAATTTGTGTTGTACATATATATGATCTGCGTCACGTTGTACTATATAAATTTCTTCAGATAACTGGCAGATTATCAATTAATACATAGTATATATATATATACGTATAAGACTCTAAACTAATATGTACGTACGTGTTAATATATATATAATAAGTATATATAACTATATATATATAAATATATATTATATATATATAATACATAACAATACTTATCTGTTATACATACATACTAATACTACCTGCTACATATATACATACATATTAAAATTCATGCTACGTACGTATATATATATACGTAAGTATATAAATACATATGTACATAGCATTATTGTTATATTGTTAATATTGTTAATTATGCATTAAACATAGTATATATACGTAACAATTTCAATCATATTTATGCAAAAATGACAATTACAAAAAATTTCCAATGAGATACATATAATCTAATTATATTGTAGACAATTTTTTTTTTTTAACAATAATGACATTAACGAACATTTTATTATATAAAGAATTTTTTTAAAAAAATTTAATCTAATTTAATTTCAATCCTTCAAAATGTGGAATACAGTTTACGTTCGTGCATTAATAGATAAACGCAAAAAAAGTAATTCAGAATTTCACAATATGAGCGGAAGTCAAAAATACTTGTTTTGAAAAAGCGTAGCTACGGATATTAATTATGAGTTTGGAACCTTCTATACGGAAACGAATTGTAAAGATAAATTTAATGCATTAGTAAAGGACTACAAGGTAATATGCTTGACGAAAAAAAGCCTTTTAATTACGAATTACTATAATTCTTAATATATTTTATTTTTTTTTTATACTATATATTTTAGAATATGAGTTTGTATATTCAAGGTAATCCGCACGGCAAATCTTCTAAAAACGGACGCCTCTATTTTCATGACTTTAAAACTCATTTCTGGGAAAGACAAGGTTTATTTATTTTTTATTTATTTATTTATTTTTATTTTTATTTTATTTTTTATATTTTTTTTAATTTTAGATGACGAATTTGATCAACTACATACAAAAAATTTGGCGTTGAGAAATTCATCGGCAAGTTCATCAACAAATGCAAATTTGCCTGTAGAGAACTGCCAAAATTCTCTAGCAAGAACGGATTCAAATGATAATGAATCCAATGAAAGTCGTACTAATAGTATGACTAGTGAGGCTAGCGAAGCTAGTGAGGTTTCAGTTAATAGTGAGGCTTCAGTTAATAGTGAGGTTTCAGTTAATAGTGACTATAGCAATAGCGTATAATTAATTAGTTACTATTACATATACTGTATGTATTCTTTTCTATAGCAATAGCTAAATTTTGTTGTATGTATACAATGCATATATGTATTTTATTAATAAAATTATATTGCTTGCTATATATATACATATATTATTAAAAGTGATTAATATAACTGTATCAGTATATATTTAAAATTCTAAATTTAAAGTTCTACGTTAGTACAAATAAAAAACCTGGATAGCCAGGTTTTCTAATACTTATTATAAAACCAGTTTATTATTTTATAAGTATATATATATATATATATATATATATATGTATAAAAATTTTTATAAATCAATCGCTAAATATATTATTTTTAATTTTTACTTATCTATACGTTGAGGGATATTTAGTCCTAATCTGGTCTGGTTATACGTATAATCTGTAGAATTTACTACATAAATTTTATAAACTGTCTTTAACGTTATAAACCAGTTCTAAAATCTAAGTTACTTAAGTTTAACCTAAAACTTAATCCTGAAACCTAAGCTTATATATATATGATAAATGTAGCATTATACAACTTTGAGTTTAGATAAGACTTATAAATTTCCGAAAATCAAGTTCTAAGAATTATAAATAAGAAATTAATAATAGATAAAATATATTACTTCAAATATTCGATTAATAAATAATATTGACTAAATTGATTAGAATAAAAGATTGTTTATCGATCAATTCAGTACAAATAATAAACTAATAAAACTAATAAGATTTTTTTTGAATATTTTTGATTAACAAACTATTTTATACTTGCCGGTTAAATTAAATTAATCTAAATAAGTAACTTAATACAAAAAATTTTTACATATTTTAGTCTTAATTTAATACAAACTAAAGAAATATATAGCTTATTTTTACTATCATATCATTCCCAACTAAATTAATAAAAATAATAAATCAAATTAGAAGTGAATAAATGCTGTTTATTTTTCGCAATGAAGAATAAGGTCATACAATATTATATAATTAGTTTTTATAACCTGGCCAGGTCAGTAAAGTGGAGGTCGAAATTTTATTTTTTTTAATATAGCTAACCAATAGAAATTCTCCATTATGCAGCTAATTCGTTGATTAATTGGTCAATTAGTTGAATTATCGAGATCATGCTGTGATATAACTATAACATTTAAGTCTTCTACAAACTAGAGCTTGGATCTGGTCAGCCTTTAATATTATTTAACGGATATTCGATGATTTTTTTGCTATTAAATTTGTATCTAACAGATAACCAAATCCAAGCTCTAATCAAAACTCAAACATCTATTTATGATTTTTAAAAACTAACTTTTGCGTGTTATATATTCTATATACATATCTTTGATAGTATTAACTGAGATATAGATAATGCTAATAACATGCATTAGTGAATCGCATGCTGTATCAAAAGAATAATAGGCTTTGCAACAGAGTATTAACAATAAAAATCACTGAAATAGTGAGTAAGTTCAGTAACAGAATTTTTACAGTAATACTCACCTTAGAAATTATGATAATTCTGATATAAACTAACACACCATATATTGTGTTATCAAAATATCGAAAAAGTTTTTAATAGAATTTTTCAGCAGCACATGATAGAAATTTCAATTCAAATTAGATCATCTTAACCACATATTGTGGTCACCAGAATAGTGAATAAATTCTGTAACAGGATTTTGTTTGCTATAGCTTGCACTAGAAATCATAATAATTCTAATGCATATTTTTCAAAATAGCAAATAAATTCTATAACAGAATTTTTTTAATAGCTCATGAACAAATTATATTACTGTAAATTTAAATGCAAACCAACTCACCTTAAACAATTATTGTGATTACCGGATTCACGAATAAGTTAGAAATCGCAGCAAACTAACCTAAATTTTTAACAGATCACTGGAATAGCGAGTAAGTTTGTAATAGAATTTTTGGTGACTTATAATAGAAATTGTGACAATTCCAATGCAAACTAACACATCTTAACTATATATAATTATTATTAGAATGGTTAGTAAGTTTGTAACAAAATTATTTGCAATAACTCATAATAGAAATAACAACAATTTTAATGCAAATTAACTCATCTTAACCACATATCATAGTTACCGTAATAACAAGTTCTATAACAGAATTATTTACAGTAACTCATGATAGGAATCATGAAAATTTTAATATAGACTAACTCAAGCTTAACTACATATTATGTTTACCAGAATAATAAGTTTTGCAGCAGAATTTTATTTACATTAACTCGCGATAAAAAACATAATTCCAATGTAGACTCATCTTAATCTGAATAGCAGTAACTTCTGCAACAGAATTCTTTTAGTAATTCATGAATAAATAATATTAATTTTAATGCAAATTAATTCACCTTAACCAATATTGTGGTTACTGGAATAGCATGTTCTATTAAAGAATTATTTATAGTAACCCAATAGAAATTTATTGCAAACTAACTCAAGCTTAACTAAAATTAAAGTCACTGAAAAATAATGAGTAAATTCTGTAACAGAATTCTGTTTATGATGAAATCATGATAATTCTAATATAAACTTATTTAATTAGAATAGCAAACAAGTTTTGTATCATAATTTTTCTAGCAACTTATAAATAAATTATATTAATATCAACACGCAAACTAACTCACCTTAATCACTTTTCATAGTTACTAGAATAGTGAATAAGTTTTGCAACAAAATTATTTACAGTAATCACAACAATGCTATAATATCAAGACAATGCTATAATTATGATCACTAGAATAGTGCCACAGTTTAAACCCGTGGCCTTGAGATTCTGGGCTGAAGTTTAAGCCCATAATCTAGATGTACTAAAAGCCTGAATTACCTAAGCCACAATAATATTGTGAGCCTTCTAGGTGGTGGATGAAGGCTCAGAGACATAGATTAATCCCAGTGGTTGGTTACTTCTAACTTACAATAAATCTTAAATAGAGTAGTAAATATTTAGCACAATTATTGTAAGAAATAATTGGAACAATGATTGTGAGCAATATTTGGTGGTTATATTAATGCGATTGTTTACAACCTGAAAACTAAAAGCTAAAAAGATAATGTTGAGATTAAAGATAGCACAGTAAATTAAAATGTATTTAAGCTATGAATTTCTGCTTTAAGAAAGTTTCTTCAGACAATGTCTCAAAAGACTATAAGTTTCCCTTATGATTTAGAATATACGATGTCTATAGTTATAGAGTTTATAATAAGAATCAGATTCTCACATGTGTAGTATTAGTTTAGTAGTTTAGTTATATTTTTTTATATTATTTTATCATCATTTCTTTATTGTTATCTTGCATTTTTTATTGTTTCATAATAAATCCATAAAGTTAATCTATTATTAAGTAATAACCCCAACTCAGATTGAGTTTTGTGACATCATATCACGTGTACAAGTGTTATAAATCTGACATAAGTTAACCATCAGAGCTAAATTGAATTAACACTCACTCTTGCTCTCCCAACCAATGTTAGCAATAGCGAGTAAGTTCCATAAAAGAATTTTTTTCTACTGCAATTCAAAATAAAAAATAATAATAATTCCAATATAAACTAATTTAATTTAACTTAATATTGTAGTTACCCGAATAGCAAGTTAAGAATGTACAAAATTAATGACAGCAATTCATAATAGAAATTATGATAATTCTGATACAAACTAACTTACTTTAACTACATATTGTGGTTACTAGAATAACAAGTAAGTATTGTAACAGAATTTTCTAATAAAAATCATGTTAATTTAATACAAACTATCTAAATTTATCAACATTTTGTGATCATGATAAAAATCATGATAATTCTGATACAAAATTAACTCTTAACCAATATGGTAGTTCTATGATAGATAAAATAATAAATAAATAATATAATATAGAATGCATCTTAATAAAAGACAATATAAATTGATAATTACAAGTAAAATGAGTCAAACAAAAAATATAGCTACTTAATTGTGAAGTAATAAAATTTTATACATAATCGGAAATGTATTCAAAAAATTTAAACCAATAATACTACAAAATATGTAAAGACAAATAAGCATCAAACAATTTCTTGTCATTAATACTGTACAAAGGTCTACTGTTTTACTATAAATTATAACATAAAATCAATAAAATTTGAGAATTGCATTAAAATTACACTATAATAATATGTAAAAGCAATTCAAGCACCTAGTTAAACTATAAAGTTTTTTTTGATTTCTCATGATCTATAGAGTTCTCAATTTTTTTTACTTAAAAAAAAGAGTTATACAATCTTATTAAAAAATTTGACTATGAAAAAAAAAGCTGTGTAGCCAGGTTACTAATTACTATATTATGATATGAAAGCAAGTATATAATGTTGTATGACCTTTATTGCTAAATAAACAAGCCTACAATTTTAAAATAAATTATTATAAGTTTTATAATAATTTATTTTTAAACCTATAAATTTTTACAGTATTACAATATTTAAATATTAAAGCTAATTAATTTAAAAAATATTAATATAAAAATATAATTATATTTTAATATATTAATTATAATTAGTGCTTGGCAAAATTAAACTTTTTTTAATACTTAAATACATGTAATAGGCTGACTTTTAAATTAATATAGCAATATAGTATTATTGTATTATTGTATTACTATATTGCTGTATTGTTTTAAAGCCAAGTCATCATATAAATTTGAGTATCAAACAAAAGTTTGATTTTGCTAAGTACTAATTATAATATTATATTTTTATTATATTAAAGTTATTAATTATTTATATATATATGATATATAGAAAAGCTATTAATTAAATCTTACAAATATATAATTATTATAAAAAAACTAATATATAATTATACTAATATTATATTTGTAATATACTGTATAATAATATATTTTATTATTAGTTGAAGTATTTTTTTTGTTTAATCAAAATAATTAAGAACAAAAAACCTGTAATAGCTAATAATTTTATAATATTAAAATAGATTT